GCGAAATCACTGATATCTGATTTATTTTGTATAATCTATGATTATCGTGAAGACTTCTATATATATGAAACAACTTTTAGAAATATGAAATATTTGTTGACATAAAATAATACTAAAACAGGTAATACTTTTATATAATAATATAAAAGACTGAATATAGAATTAATTTAGTATTTTATTAGCATTAGAATAATTCTGTTCTTATAAACTATTACAACTGTTCCTTTTATTAATAAACCTAGTTTTATTTGCAAGTATATACTCTTACGGATTCGAAACACACAATTTCCAAGAATCTGCAAAACAATCATAATGGCAGCAGTAGTAGTAGTAGTAGTACAATAATAATCAGATCCTAATAATATAATAAAAAAGAAGTAATTTAGTAATTTAATTTAGTAATTTCACCCTTCGAGTCGTGCACTTACGAAAAGTTTCTTTGTTGACTTTATTAATAATGAAGGAAGTCTGACATGTTTTTGGTATTGTGTAAAAATTTTATGAACTTTGGATGAAAATTGATAGAAATATAAATTTTTGCTTATAATCAAGCATCTTTGTTTAAAATTGTCTAGGATTTCTCGAATATGTATGTAAATTTCTAGCACTCAAAAGGTTAAAATCTTACACTTTAAATTTCAGATTCGTACTCCATGAACCAAATGATTGAAGCAATTATACAATAAAATCCATACAAATGTCTAGAAAATGTTACAAAAATAGTACAACACGTCAGCAGTAAGAAATTGAGCACTTCAAAATGACGTAGATTCACGTTAGAGGCCGGGAATGTGTTAAATCTTTCCTCATAGATAGTGGATTGGCCATTTCACTGCTAATCTAGGCAGACCGCGTCCTGTATAGCGTAGTACAGGTTAGGATCGGGAGTAAAGGTCGAGTTGCAAGGGTGACTCAAGGCACGAGATTGCGTTTGCTGCACGAAGACGATGGCCACGCAGGTCCCTAAAGTATATTTGCATTTGCATTCGCTAATTAAACCCGGTCCGTTCGCAGGACGGACGTTCTTATAGGAGTTCGCTCGTCGAAAACGAGCAATTGTTCTGAATCCTAAATAGCCTGGTTGTGCGGTGGACGCGTGACCGAGTTATAGCGAAACGAAAACCGGCTAAGCACGGTACAGCCGCATGGCATCCGGCGATTAATCGCCCCGTCGAACGACCACCCCGCGAGCTTCATTAAGTAATTAAATTCTCGACCCCTCCTAGAGCTAATGTTTCGATTCATTTGTTGGGATAGGGATGCTTGTTGGTATCTTCTGTAAAATGGAAACGTGCACAGAACACTTTTGTATAATAAATAGTTGTTGCAGATAACTTTAGTGCTTGCCCTAATTAACGTTAAGTCATTTTTCAATTGCTTTTACGTATATGCAGCAGCTATACATACATTGAGAAATGTCTGAATTGTATGGAATTATATGTAAATAATGGATCATGTGGAATAATTTATAGTTGAAAAATATTTTATTTCTTATACTATATGTGGTAATAAAATGGCGGTAGGAATATTAAAAATTACGTCAATTGATTATAAGATTTCTGAAACTATTAATAGTGAATATAGCTTGTTGTTAATAAAAATGAGGAAATAATAGGAGAATCTGAAACTATTAATTACAGTCAAGACATTATGAAAATTCAATGCATAATTAGGAAATGGAAAAGGATGATAGCAACGTAAAATATGTCAGCATGTAGTCGTCTGTAAAAACTTTCTACTCTAGCAGAATATAGAGTTTTGTGCATACGTAAAAGAAATCCAATTATGACTTTATCTGAAATTTTAGCAGAGAACAGAGCACAAAAACAAAGTTGCTAGGAAGGAACTCCATACAGAAAAAAATACATAAATAATGATATGAAGTGAAAAAATAGAATCATATATTGATATATATTCACTGAAATAAATTAAAAATAAAAATGACTTCAAAATTAAATTATTTATTTGTCGTTTACAATTTTCACATTTTACGAATACCACTTTTTCTGTATTTCAAATGTTCTCAGATTATAAGCGATTAAACCATTACTCAATTATTGGAAATAAGCGCATAGGTATTTCAAAATTAATCATGTCACAACTTATTCCGTAGATACGGAGCTGAAAAATTCCTTGAATCGGCGTAACTTTCGTCTGGCCACTAATCACGGTAAAACTGTCAACGACAGGTGTCGTAGAAAAAATTGCAGCCGTACTTCGATAAATTTATGGAATGCACGTCTCACATAATGAACAACTTACGCAAATGGCGAAAGTAAGAGGAAAAACTTCGCCTTGAATGAGCGCAACTGGTTCGACCTTCGGCCCCAAATTATTTCCTCGAATGTTAGCTGTTTGACCGGTGCAGAATCAAATTCTACGCGAACGGAACCATTCCGAGAAAATTGCGGTTAGAATGTGACTCATACGTAAATCCTTTCCAAGTATTCTCAATACGATATTAATCGTACTTCCTTGTTCTTCGTTAATATTATCGAAGAATTTCTCTTGCATACAAATTCGTTAACAGCTGACATAAATATTACCTATAATTGATGACTGAATTACAAATCTTCATATTAACTCAAATTCTTGAGAATACAATTGGAAAAATAGAGTTACAATAGAAAATTGCTTTCTTTAAAAATGTTATAAGAATATTCTTCAACTATTATAAGTATTCGGTGCAATTGTGCATCTTCAAATTTCCTATAAATGCACAATAATTTGTACTCTATCGATGACCGATTAAATCTCATATTTTAGCTCCTTAATCAGACGTTATGACTGTGAACAATGGACAGTTATTCTATTGTTTCTAATTAGAATTCTTCGAGTATTACTATCCAACAGTAATTAAGGCTATAGTTATCAAGGACTTGTGATATCCTTGACAAACCAGAACTGTAATCGCTTCCGTTAAACATTTTTCTGTGAATATGGAAGCAAGTAATACTCAATGCCGTCTATAAATTCTTGCACGTTCTACAATGGTATATAAATAAACTTCATAAGATTGAATTGTGTTACAATGAAACATTTCTAGCACATATATCGCCAGTCAATGTCACCGGCGTTCTCATTTGCGTACTGAATTCAAGTAAACCTGAAAAATCTGATTTTTACGGACTAATAGACCGTGTCGATATGAAATTAAAAACAACACGCTAACCTCCATGAACATGCAAATTACTATCTTTCCAATGCGTACGGCAAATTATGTGTATTGTCAATGAATTAATAAAGATCTTTCCGCTGTCGTATTTCCATTTCACGGAACATTAAATCACCGACAACCGAACGAAAAAATTTTGTATACGCTTCGTGAAAGTAATATCAGTGTTACAAACTACTATAAAATTAACAAGTGTGATACAATGAATCACAAATATGAGATAATTGCATTCGAGAAAGTAATTACAAATTTTCGAACAAGAAATATGTCATTTTAAACAATATCGAATAAAACGTTTTAATATTAAATAATATTATATTATACGATATATGAAAATTTTCTATGTTTAAAGTATTTTTTGATTCAAAGTAGAAATTGATAAAATGAAATTTATCGTAGTGAGAACATTTTCAATTTTTATTCGAATTTCTACTATCAATAATAATATATCATTATTTAAATGTTGCTTTGTAAATTTCGGTTATATTTCGCTTATAAAGTGTATTAATATTTGTAATAAAGTATTACATCATATTTAAACTGTTGATGACTTTTTTATATTTTGATGTACAACCTATTTCCCGATTTACACGGTACTTTATTTACATGATTTTGCTTTTACACGGTTTTCGAAATAACAGATTTATACAAAAAATGTTAAAAGTAAACATTCTTCTGTACTCATATTTCTATAGTAAATTTTTTATTTTCATTCAGTTGGTAACACTAACATTAAATTCAAAACACGGAATTCCCCTTTTAATGTACACGAAAAACCATTCAGGTGAATTAGCGCAGTAAAGCTCAGTAAATCTTTAGCAATAAAAACATAGAAATATCGGAATATTTAATCGGAATTTTTGAAAACCTCATATTTATTGGTTAATGATAAACAATTATAATTTTTGTAGTATTTTTATAATTTATTTAAAATTTTATAGGCTTAATTTTTAGTTCGACTTTTGGTTTCAGTTTTCATGGATTTTGTATTTCTCGTTTCTATAAAATGAATTATGTATTTATGACTTTTTATGCTTGTTATTTCATGAATGAACTTATATTTATGTTTCCCATGGTATTTTACTTTCATTTCACGTTCTAATCAATCAATATAATTAAATATGTAACTGATTAAATTATACACATTTTCGTTTGTTTTCAATTTACACAGTATTCTGAGGAACCGATATTCCGCGTAAATCGGGAGATAGGTGTAATTTCTTAACGTTTTCGCTGATAACGTGTGTCGCTAACCATCGCCATATGTCTCGCAAAAATATTTTCTTGCAAAAATTGGCATATACACACAGCACTAAACGTTTTAACATATAAATATTAACTCATAAATAATGAGAGTATACGAAACAAGACAGTAAACAAAAAATATACGTTCTTATTTTATTTTGTAATTCGTACTATATGAGTATAACGGTTCGTAAAACCACCCTAAAAAGAATCAACGAAAAATACTGAATTCCAAGAAAACCGTGTTATAACGAAACAGCGTTGAACGAAGCACCGTTAAGCGGGGTCTTACTGTATACAACAATCATATCAACTCTAGTCCTCCTGCGGCTATCCCACGGTTACACTTCCACAGGCAATGGCCGCCGTATATTCGAGTTCTACCGATTGCCCACGGTATCGGACAAGAAAGTTAGCCACTGGGGACCAAGAGGGTGAATCCTTAGCAGATGTGATAAAAATAGGGGCAGTAGAGAGTAGAGAAACTAGGGTAAAACCGCGGCCGGAGGGCCGAGCTGGTGGCCTACAGGGTTACGCTGTAAAATGAGAAATGCATGAGGAAGAAGGCTCGGGGACTTACCGTCATGGGAGTCGTAGAGGTAGATGATTTTCTTCCAGCCGTAGTATCGCACAGTGTCGATGATGGCGCGATGATAATCCGGACGCATGCTTATGGCGAAATCCAGCAGACCGGAGGACGGCGTCAGGACCTGGACATAACAGACAGGCATTTTCATTTTTGAATGGAACCCTATGCATGTTACAGTGAATTATTTAGAAATGAAGAGGTCTAATGGCTTGTTCGACAATAGATCACCCTTTTCGAAAAAAAATGAGTTTCAAGTTTGTATGTTACTGCAATAAGACGATTAGAAGAAACCTACTACAACAACGTGCCGTTTCAAATCTCCATGCTTGGAATTCTTTTTTCTCTCCATTTTTCTTTGTTTTTCTTTGAATTGTGATTTTTAAATAACTTGTATTTTATTATTGTAACATTATTCATCGTCATACTACGGTATCATACAAATTTAATAACCCTCGTGATAGCCAAGTTTTAGCGAGAATTTTCTTCGTTTTAAAGGAAAATTATTTTCTATGCGCGAAGACGCACACATTAGAATTTTTCTCTCGTAACCCGACAATCTAGACTACTGCACGGTGCTATCGAGTCGAGCTTGGTTCGACTTTTAGATTTTATTCGACCAACGGCGGCGATTCACTCCACCGAAATCTAGCCGAAGGAAAGCGTTAAGCTCTGCGCCGACGATTCCCGAGGAAATGTAATCGTAAATATTTATGATCCCCGCGCGAATGACAGCGCACGCGGAAAGCTTCCGACGATACACTTGCGATATCGAGTTGTTCTGTGAAGTTTCCTGCTACTGTCGCAGTTTCTGTTACTAGCGCGAAATAACGACACCGTTCCAGGTGAGTCACTATCTCGTTAGGATCCGCGGGGGAGAATAGACTTTGTCACTTCGATGAATCGTTCTGTGTGGTTAGCACCGGTGAAGAGTTGTTTTTAGACTAGAGGAAAGATGAGTTTACGATTGGATATTCAGGGTTAGGTTTTACTGGCACCTATAAAAGTGATTACGAGGAGTCGTGATCGCGTTTATGGCACTGTTTCATTGGCTGACGCTTTGAATTTTACTCTGCGACTCTTGTTTAGCCTTCTGCATCTTTTTAATTTGTGACAGTCGGAGTAAAATGTGGGAGATAGGATGATGCATTAATTCTTGTACAGTCAATTTAAATGTTTGCAATCATTGAAGTGTTGAATATTATAATTCTGTTAGTGACAAAAATATTTTGTGTTTACACATATATGTATCCTTTTTTATTGAACACAGTTTCACATGTATAAAAATATTGAAAAGCTTATTGTCTATTACATGGTTGGAAGAGAATTAAAGTAAATTATAACTTTGTTAAGATGTTAAGAACGAAGGAACTGAAAAACAAATATCTTTTCTCAATAAATCAAATTTATAACCATTTCATCGGAATAATTTTCAAATCAATTGTACTATTATCCTGCCCAACGCAAATTTGATCCGTTTAACCAGTTAACTGTGGAATTTAGTTTCAAAAATCTCTCACTGTGCTCACAGTAAAATTTAATAAAGAACTATAGACTCGTCAAACGCAGTTCAGTGGTTAAAATTTCTTGCCGCTTGTTCAAACCATCAATCATTTCAAAGTAAAAAGAAAGGAAAGATCATCGTCTTTGGAAACAATTTTTCGTAACTTAACTTGATTGAGGCATTCCAAATCCCTTCTTAAGACTGATGAAATGAACACCACGGAAAATACGAATTCACAGTGGAAAACGAGACCCAGGACTTCAGCGTCTTAAACAAGTAGTGTACCGTGGAAGAATAACAGCGTCTTCTTCAACCGGCAGAAAATACCGTTGCTGGTCTCATGGAAATTGAAGAAGATTTCCCGTTTATAAATGGTCGACGGGGACGAACCATAATTGACCGCCTCAAGAGAAAAATACGGGGAGGCGTGCCGGGCGGCCGCGAATTAGCATTGCCACGCGATTAGCATTTAAACGACGCGAACAGTAGTTAGGCGTTTATCGCGTGCCTGCGTTGCACTTACGTGCGAGTAAAGCTACGTTCTCATTCAAGTAACAATGAACAACTTTTCGTTGATGTTAACCTATGTTTTCACTCAAACAACAACAAGCAATACTTTGTCGATGTGTCATGCATCTTGAACAAGTTGCTACTTATCGTCAAATATTTCTGCAAGCTTCTTTCTGCTTCTGTTTGTAGCAACAAACATCGTTGCTGCGTGTTTCTATTTGGAGCCGTAAAGGTAAAAGGAAAATAGAAATATAAAATAAATATCGCGACAAAAATAATTGTTATTTTAGCGTGCATTTAATGCAGTAGAATATCTTGAAGCCATGACAAAAACATAACTTAATTCTAAACAACTCAATTTGCTTTTAATATATATTTATTTAATATATAATAATTTAACTATATATATATAATTTATTGTTATTGTATAATTCAAATCATACGGTCGAATCTCAATTATTTTTTTCTCTTGTCTTCCCTTGAAATCCGACTCATCAAAGTTTAATAGTACTATCTAGATGAGATGATATATTACTCCTTAATCAAACAATTTCCGAAAATAAACAAATTTGAAAATATGTTTGCCAAATGCTACTGGATTGTTAACCCCTGTCCTATGATTTCTTTTACAACTGCGATTAATAAAATTACTTTATCGTTAACACTTTGTTAGAAAAAGGAGAGAATTTTATAGTTACTCTATATCTACGTTTGCTCCAAAGATTAACGTTGAATAATGAAAAACTAATATTTAATTTATATTTAAAAAAGACTTAATAATGGTTAAGTGAAATATCGCTTAGATTTGTAGAATTTAGTTTAAAATTTTCGTCACGAATCTGCCATGTTATTCCACAACAAAGAGTTAAGAGTTAACACGACATTGAAACAAGTCGCGGCAGAAAAATGCACGCTTACATCGGTTCAGGGTTGCCACGCCATTCATCCAATATGGCGACATCAGTTTTGCAAGTGGTGTCCGTGGTCCGATAAATGCGCTACCGTTGCGATCCGACGCAACGAATAAATTTTCGACCGGTCCGATTTATTCGGAAATTCAAATTGTAATATGTTTGTACACACCCTATACATATTTATGTATTTATGAGATTCTGGGGGCGTGGGTGGGAACGATTGGGTTACGACGAGACGCAGCCACCGCCAGCGCTAATTATCAGCGCAGCTTCCTATCGATTTTGTACGGATTTCACTGTACACGCATACAACCAGCACGCTGAGATAACGAGGAAAATAAAAACGAAAGTAAAACTGGTTTGACTGGTGGCCGGTGCGTCGCAAGGATGAATTTTCAAGACTAAGCTGTTGTGTCGGGTGCAAAGTCGGGGAATTAAATGGAAAGTTATAAATTGACTTGCAGATTGCGGGAGGAAAATGGTTTGGACTATGTATTTCACTTCGAATTTTTACATACGTTATGCGTTGTGTTATTGGTCTCGTAACAATGTAAAGTAAAAGAAAGATGAGGATAGAGCGAGCGTTAAAATTAAGGAGGCGTGATTGTTCGAATTCTTGGAAAATAGGAACGTATTTTGAACTTTTTTAGAACCTTGTGAAGCTTTGTTTTACGACTTCTTGAAAATATATTATTTTACGAGTACGTTAAAGGAATTTTATGAAGCACGGAAGTAAAAAATTTGAACTTGAAGTTTGAAGTGTTTGTCGAAAGTTATGGAACCATTTGAAAACTTCTTTTAATTTTACATGAACTTTGTTGATTCTTCCAATGGAAATCAATTTTTTTTTAATATTCAAATAGTCATGTTTGTTCAAAGGAATATAAGTGAACACATTGTTAACCGGCAATTTCACGCAGAAACTATCCCATGTCACCGGTTATTATTCAGTAACTAAATATGAAAGTGAGACAATGTAAATAAACTTCAACATACTTTATTAATACATACTAACTTGAAATGAAACTTTGCACATATCTTTTATATAATTTTGAATTTTTTTTAATATTTTTGAGGCTTTAGTCAATTCGAGGATGATGTGTACTAATGAGAGATCAAACGTAATCGAACGTTTCTACACAAATAATATACATAATTCTCGCGTGCTTCATTGTAAGTTTAAATTATCACTATTATTTAATTCAAATCTAAATACAGTTAAACTGGCTAGTATACGATTGCTTTATTTTTCTTATTGATTTAAATACACCGGATAAAATTTTAATTACCATCATCACAATGATAACAGCTTGCAATTGCATTACGAAACTGAATGATACATACATAGAAACAGCAAGAGGGTGTAATAAGCATAACCAATCGCAAATGCATTTAATGGTGGCAAGCTTATTGGTATTTCCATCAATTCCGTTATCACTGATTTTACAATCCACTTTTTTAATAAGCTTGAAAAACCGCTACGTTTATCTTATTAACGCGTCACCGACACGCACACGATTTATTTTTATCGAAGGACGATAAAAATAATAATCGAAGGCCGATAGGTGGGAAAAAATGAGATCTTGCAAGGGTCGGGTTAAAAATAAACGACATCGTCTCTTTAACGGCATCATATGTTTTTATATAGCCGCTCGGGGAAGCGTAATATTTACCTTCTCGGGAAACCAGGGCGTCACGAAAGGCATCTGGAATGTGTTGCTGTACGAATGGAGGGTGTCGAACGAATCAGGACTCACTGCGCCCAGCATGGAGAACACCCCTCTACTGAATTGAGTGCAAACTGTAACAAAAATAATAATATACAAAAGTAGTAATACACGTGCTTAAAATACACAGTTTGGGTCTGACTGAAATCTTTTTCACCTGGAGAATTTCATAATTGAAAAATTTCAAAGTGTAAGCTGATAGTTTCAATTGAAAATATTTGAAAATGGAATTTATAATGAAATGCATTCGCAGTTTAATCAGTGGGGACATTATGTATGGTGTATTACAAACACAAATGCGTTCGTGACAGATGAATATTCACAAGTACAATTTTTAATGTTAAAATGAAATATAAAAGGGTATTTTACTGTATACTTTTTATCACACTTTTAATGTAGAATTAAGTATTATTGGTTTTCATATACAATATGTATGTGCACTTTGAATGTAACAGAAGATGATATTTATAGGATATGTTAAAAATATAAAATTAAATATTTCCATTACAATGAAGATATGTGTAATATTTTTAATAAACTGGATCAGTGGTTTCTGTGATAATGTGTATGTTAAGTAGGAAAAAATATTTTTCTAGGTACGATAATTATTGAATAAGACTAGGGTGCAACCGAAACACTTTGTTTTCAAATCAATAATATGTGTGTTGCTGTAAAAGTTTTGAGAAAGAATGAGAAAAATCATAAATAAATTTGAACTAATAGTTTTATTGTTTGTCAAAATATTCTCCTTCAATATTAATATATCTTCTACTGTGTTGTATCAGTAGTTTCTAAACTTTAAAATATGAAGTTATACTAAAATAACAAACAACTGAATGATAATGGATCCCAGAACCTTTGTAGCAACCCACGTTACCAATTTACTGAGTCCATTTAAAATATTTTTGAATTACACATTTAAAGCAGAAAAATGCATGAAAATATAAAAAAGAAATTCAGATTATTTGTCAAACGAAAAAGATTCTATGGTTTAAAAATTGAATTTTTTGTTCAATGACATTCCCATTGTTCTCTTGATCAGTGTTCCGATAATCGAGATTTTTCCTCTGATAACATCCTCCAATTATGATACGGATAGAATGACATTTCTATTAATTACTGTAGGAAGCTTCACCAACCATTATCCCGAATGTTCTGAATATCCGACAAACGAATTTATAATAAAGATTTCACAAAAATCACGAACAAAGTCTGTCACGTCATGATAGTATTTCACGCGCAATTTCATTCCGCAACCGTGTCCCTACCACCGTCCCTCATAACCGCGTAATATCCATTCAAAGGTGTCAAAGCATAGCCAGAAGTCCAATAACTCTGTTTTCCATTATGTCGTAACAGACAAAGAGGCGGGAATTTAGTTAGACGCGTCGTTATCAATAAATTTTCACGTGAACGCGTGTAGGTAATCCCACATTTGTTATTAAGTACAGCGAGCCAAATTCTTCATGCACGCCAAACGGAAATTGGAACTTCAACACATATGACATCTTCAATATCTGATTAAGGTAAAGGCACCAGTAATTGACCTGGTGACAGTAGTTGGCCATTTTTTAGCAAAACGTGAAAAATAAGGTTTTTAAAAGTGATAATTTTTCAATAAAGGCGTGGTAGATACGCTGCAGCATCTACCGACCCAACTCCGAAACACTGTTACCTGAATGAAATTGTTTATCGTAGAAACTAACAATTTATTTCATTGACGTTGGTTGTACGCCTCCAATTTCTAACATGGAATTAACTCCTTTCAATTTTTGTTTGCCCTTTTACTTGTAATTTGTCATAATCATTGCTAATAAACAATATTCAACGAATCACCTTTAGTGTTTCTGGTTTTACTATAAATGGTCAACTAATAACTAACATATGGTCAATTACTAGTTTTCTCGTTTGAAAAGATGATCAACTTCTGACGCAAATGTTGAGTGTTCAAAAATGTCTATAAAATTTGGATAATATAACTATTTAAAAAAAATTTCTCTTTATTACATAACGTAATAAGTTTAAACAGCATTTTCACGTATAGGGTCCCTCTATTTAATAAACGAACAAGGCTTTACTATTATTGACGCAAAACATTTTTCTTAACTAATCAACCATTGGTACTTTCACCTTACTGTTCTTTGTTCAAAATTTATATATAAATAAAATATTACATTTAAACCAAATTTACGTTTTACATTTTCGATGTATACCACAGATGTCTCTGAACTTCATTATATTATGTCAATATTTAACCCATTTTCACCTTCACTCTAAGTGTGAAGCTTACATTATCAATCAAGGATGCTCCACTCAAAGTCTTTCAAGCTTTTAATTGAAATTAATCTGCTCAAATCAGTATAGCTGAGTAATACATAGACAATTAAAAGTAATTATGTACAGAATATTCTGTCCTTGATGACTGTACTTTTTACTTCAAATGCTTTTTATTTTCTGCGACTACTTTTATTATATGTGTTTACATATAAATATAATAACTCCAAGTTTTAACATCAACTTATTGTGAAAGGGGGACACATATTAGAAAATGTCATTCTGTATTTTTTAGTTTATTTCCTTTATTTAGATTCTCATAGTTTTTGATTATATTATCAATTCTTAGTTCCAGTTACTTGGAAAATCATGAACATACGAATTAGTAGTAATATTTAACATGATGATTAAATGTTACCACACCTAATGGTGATTAAATTTTATGCTTCTGCAGTAAGCTAATTAACTTCGAATGTTCCGAATTATAAAGACGAACACGTTTCACATGCTTTGTATCAGTTCGAGTTATTGTATCACAGTATACATGAATGCATTCAACACACGTCAGCTCCCAGTTATTTTGAATCCGCAAATTAGACATTCTATAAAGTTTCATCGGATTGAAAGCTGAATTTTATAATTAACTTAAGTGCATAATCCAACGATTAAATGTATGTAAATGACTACTACAATGAAAACTTCAATTTAGCGAATTCCTGTTAAAATTCAGCGAATTCCTGTTAATCTTCTCCAAAACCAATAATTATCCGGTTCGAAAATGAAAAATAAACGAAGATTAAGTAAAAATGAAAGACAAAGTATCTATAAAAGAACATTTTTTAAAAAATCGTATAATATCTATATGTTCAACGAGCACAATGCGTTACGAGAATTTTAAATGCTTCATATATCCATTACTTACTTCTTCATAATAGAGACAAATGGCTCTAAAACCAATTATTCATTACCAAACATCGCAGTTTTTACACTACACTGTTATTTAATTATGTACCTTACTAAACACATTTTTCTTACGCCAATCATCTCAATGTAATCGTTCCCAAACAATTCAGAACAACCAGCCATTGATCTTCATATTGGCCAAGGTATTGACAACTAAAAATTTTCCTTCAATATTTCGTAAAAATCTACCAATAAGGAACAAAAATAGAAACTAAAAGCCACGCGATCGTTAAGACATGTCATGAGAGATTTTTAATCGTCGTGCCGTTCGCCCCGCGAAAACAGAGAGAATTAATTGCCGTATTTGACAGAACGTACGGCCGCTAAATAAGTCGCACGTAGCGAACAGAGGGTGAGATGAAACCATCCGGGAACGGAAACACCGGGCAAATTCGGGGCCGTGAGTTGGCTCTAAGTACAGCTCGTAAACGTTCCGATAATTCGGAACACTTGGCGGGGACGGGCGTGAAGTCGCGTAACGTGAGATCGATACACCTGCGCCAAATGGCGATACCCGGCTCGCGATAAAACGGACAGAAAAGTTTCGAGCTCGGAAACGCGAAAAGGAGAAGGCGCGGTGTGGCGATGTGATATCGGCGCGGGGAAGGGTGGAACGATGCAGAGGGGTGCACGGGTGGAAGCGACGATTCAAACGTTTGGAGCCACGCCAACGTGTATACGCGGACACCGTGCGAAAAAAGGTGGGCCGAGAAAAAGGGGCGCTAAAGAACTTTATACGGCAAGTTAATCGTTAACAGGTGGGGACGGTTAATCGATTGAATCTTATTAGAGAATTCATTGCGGGATAATACTTGAAAATTAGGTATTTGAAACGAAATCAGAGTTTTATGTGGATACATACAGTGTGTCTCGCGAAGTCTGTCTACTTAAATATCTAGGTTATTTCAAGCGATACGAAAAAATATTAATCACATAAGTTGTAGGGTGTAAGAAACTACAGAATATGGTATAAATGTTATTTTTGTAAGTGGAAGCGTAGAGAATATATACGGGTCACCTTTGTTTTTTTAAATGGAGTGTCTAATTTTTTATGCTCGATTTCGATAGGTTGGCATATTCTGAGTGTAAAAGTACTAAAGTGCATTTGTCCTAAAACTTACCGTTACTGAGATATTTGACCTTTTTCACGAAGCATGTTCAAAATATCGTGGCTTGGTTGAAATAACCGTGATATTTAAGCGGAAAGATTTCATAGATACACTGTATATGTGTTTGGATATTTAATGTGCGTTTAATGTTGCTTGATACGTTTGTGGCTATAATCAGCGGTGGACAAAAATTATTGAAAATGAAAAGTAAGGAATGACGGATAAATTCGATCTGGTTGCGAGTTGCTAATAACGAATAGTTAATATATTCGCCGTTCGTAGATAATAAGTAAATTGAACTTATTCGTCATTTTTTATTTTGGATTAATTTTACCCAACGATGCATATATTGTAATAACGTATGAAATGTAAATGCTATTGCCTTATTGTCAACCAAAGTTGTAACTAGAAGTAACAAATGACTTATTGTTTTCAATAGCTGCAATGAAGTATTGATAATAAGGTTATCTTTAAACATAAACGCATAGGTATTCAATAAAAAATAAAGAAAGAATGTAGAAACTCATTCTCCGCATATAACAAAATTTGAGGCTGTAGGAAGTGCAGTTTTTACTTTTTATTTTATTTTTATTAAGTTATTAGTATATTATATAATACGTATAATATAGTAGATACAATAGATTGCATTTAAATCTGCTTCTGAATCTGCATTTTCATTAATGTACACAGTTTCTGTTGATTAATGTTGAACCTTGAAATACAAAAAT